GTATCAAATAGGAATTCTTCAGTTTGATTCTCTTCAATAGGTGTGGACTGTTTCCACCCAGTTCTGCAAGGGTAACAAAAACCACAATATAAAAAGAGTCTATCTATCTATCTATCTATATACAGTGGGGCAAAAAAGTATTTAGTCAGCCACCGATTGTGCAAGTTCTCCCACTTAAAATAATGACAGTGGTCTGTAATTTTCATCACAGGTACACTTCAACTGTGAGAGACAGAATGTGGAAAAAAATTGTAGGATTCTTAAAGAATTTATTTGTAAATTATGGTGGAAAATAAGTATTTGGTCAATAACAGAAATTCAACTCAATGGAAGGAGGTTTTGGCTCAAAAAAAATACATGGCCCCATTCATTCTTTCCTTAACACGGATCAGTCGTCCTGTCCCCTTAGCAGAAAAACAGCCCCAAAGCATGACGTTTCCACCCCCATGCTTCACAGTAGGTATGGTGTTCTTGGGATGCAACTCAGTGTTCTTCTTCCTCCAAACACGACGAGTTCATACCAAACAGTTCCACTTTGGTTTCATCTGATCACATGACATTCTCCCAATCCTCTGCTGTATCATCCATGTGCTCTCTGGCAAACTTCAGACGGGCCTGGACATGCACTGGCTTCAGCAGGGGGACACGTCTGGCACTGCAGGATTTGATTCCCTGTCGTCGTAGTGTGTTACTGATGGTAACCTTTGTTACTTTGGTCCCAGCTCTCTGCAGGTCATTCACCAGGTCCCCCTGTGTGGTTCTGGGATTTTTGATCACCGTTCTCATGATCATTTTGACCCCATGGGATGAGATCTTGCGTGGAGCCCCAGATTGCGTGAGATTATCAGTGGTTGAAATATCGTTTTGGGCTACATTTGGGATATCTTTTATACAGATAATGAGTTCAAACAGGTGCCATTAATACAGGTAACAAGTGGAGGACAGAAGAGCTTCTTAAAGCAGAAGTTACAGGTCTGTGAGAGCCAGAGATCTTCCTTGTTTGAAGGGACCAAATACTTATTTTCCACCATAATTTACAAATAAATTCTTTAAAAAAATTGTATCACATTCTGTCTCTCACAGTTGAAGTGTACCTATGATTGGAAATTACAGACCTCTGTCATTATTTTAAGTGGGAGAACTTGCACAATCGGTGGCTGACTAAATACTTTTTTGCCCCACTGTATCTATCTACAGCCATGTAAACCATTCACTCCTAGGATGGTTGCTGACTATGGGAGAGAGTTCTGATAACTTTTTTCCCAATGGGTTTTTTGAGTTGTTCCTCGCCTATGGAGGAGGGTCTAAGGACAGTGGTGATGATCCAGGACACCTGGACATTTACTGTATGAACATGTATTAACATTTATGGACATTGATCATCTGCCCCCTATGGACCAATGATTCTCTGATCTGTGTTGGTGAATAGACAACTTTTTAAAGTCCTCCGAGTTAAAGTAATTGAAAAAAAAACACATGTTGTGATTTGGAGTTATACAAAAACAATCCATCCATCCATTTTCTTCCCCGTAATCCATTTCTGGGTTGGGGGGGTGGCAGTCAGTGCTGCACCCAGTCAGAGCACCAGCCCCTCACTGATCCTCCTGCAGGTGGTGAGTCCACAGGAGCTGAGATCTTTCAGTGGGAGCTTCAGGCAAAGTGGGGTTAAGTGTCTTGCCCAAGGACACAACGACAGCAGTCATCAGTGGGAATCGTGAAGTAGGTCTTGAGGTGGGCTCGAACCCACGACCTTCAGGCTCAAAGGCCAATGCTCTACCAACTGAGCTACTGTCGCACCTTTCACCTTCAGTATATCTCAAAAGATGACTCTACTTCACGATACTTATAATCTAATAATCTGTGAATTGATCTTAAAACAACTTTGTGTAAATTTGATGCCAAAATCTGTGAAAAGCATAGCATGTAAATACGTATCTTCTCTCGTCATTATTGCCTTGGTTTTGTTACTGGATTGGCAGAACAAACACACATTATATTCGCTCAAAAAGCTTGTTTTTGTCACTCAATACTGTCACACTGAACTTGTACCATGGATTTTCTTCTGAACTCCATTTCTCTTCTGAAACTTCTGCCACAATGCCGTCAGGTAATCCCCACATTGCAAGTTCAGGTGTTGAAAGCTTATGCCACATTCTGCAGGTGGAATTTACATAGATTAAAGTCCCGAGTCACAAGTGTTTCTCGTCTCCTGCCTCTGTGCCTCTCTGCGTCCTGCTTCTGCTCGCCCGTGTGTGGCTTTCCAGTCAAATTGAAAACATATTACTCCATCAATCACTTCCCATTCTGCGCGAAGGCCGGGCGCGTTCAAACAAACCAATGCTAGGTTTTGTTTGACATCGCAACATTGTAGTTTGAGGCCGTGTACATGCGTGAAACATATTACTTTATGCTAAAACGTCTCTTTTCAGATATTAAACCCGTTTCAATGTCGTTCCTCAATCAAGTTTAACGTTTAATATATTAAGGACAATGTGCTGCACCAGATTTAGTGCCATGTTACTTTTCCATCTGTAGTCCTTGACATCCATCATCATTAAACATATTAAAATACAAGAACATACCATAGCTCCAGCAGCTTATTTCTGTCACAAATAAACAGAAATAAATAAAAAAAATCTATCTATCCAAAAGCTCCAGTTAGTATAAATGTTACGGACATCCATTTGTTTCAGAAATGTCCTGGAGGCTTCCGAAAAATATATCCGAGCCACCTGGGTCTGACTAAAAGGACAGTGGTGATGATCCAGGACACAACTCAACCTTCAACAACATTTATGGACATTTATCATAATTTCTGGACATTGGTCTCTGCCCCTTATGGACCAATGGCTCTAAGTGTTTTCTATCACTGCATTTCTTTGTGTTTGAACGATTTGATTCTCTGATCTGTGTTGGCGAATTCAACGGTTTTGTAAAGTCCTCCGAGATGTTGTGATTTAGGGATATACAAGAATCCATTGAATTAAATTGGATTGAACCTCAACTGGCTCCTCTCGATGTGGAGAAGCAGCGGCTCTAGTCTGAGCTCCTCCTGTGTGGCTGATCTTCTAATCCTAAGGGAGCGCCCAGCAACTCTCGAGAGGAAACATATCTATATAAACCACAATCTTGTCCTTTCAGTCATTGCCCAAAGCTCATGGCCAGAGGTGGCAGTCCATGGAGAAGCCAATATATATATATTATCATATTACTATATGATTATATATGAGCTCCTAAATCCAAGGAAACCTTCCGGACAGCGACCTGGCTTCCCACACACGTTTCCCTGCAATTTTGTATTCAATTATTTAGGCCTTCACCATATTCAATAAATCAATTAATCGCATGATAATTAAAACTAGCTCAATATTTTTTCTCGCCACGATAAATTCCATTTGCATGCTCGTTTGTTTTCCCCGTCTCTCTCTCTCCCTCTCGGGTCAGAGAGCCGCAAAGTGGTCAGGGGAACATTAGCGGTCTAGCGAGAGTTCTCATTTAGGCTCTAGTAGTGACTAAACTAGCGCAGCTAGCGTTAGCGTGTTCACCGATGCGGAAGTACCGTTTAACAATAAACTTATGGCGCAGCTCCGTGAACACATACTGCTGTTATATAAAGTCTCTGGAAGGTCTCTGGACAAAGAGACCCTGCAGAGCTGCATTTTTGGCAAAGAACTTTACACAAAAAGCCGCTAGCTTAACTCTGTTAGCCTGCCCGCTACTTCCGCCACTTCCGGCGGTGGTTTTGATGAATAAAAGTTTATTTCTCTTTGAAAAGGTGTACCTGCATCATTATCATTGTATTAGATGAAAATGATCTCAGAACGACAATATTATCGCTTATCGCAATAGTTTCCGAGGAAATTAATCGTCCAGCAAAATGTGTTATTGTGACAGGTCTACAATTATTACTGCTATTCATTTTCAGTAGTCCTCTTACTCCTATGAAGTCTCATGGCTACACTTTCACATACACTTTTTTGGAAAAATCTCTTGCCGCATTAAGGGTTAACATCACTTGCTGTTTCAAAAATGGCCTTCTCGCTTCCTCCTCTGCGTGTGTCTGCCTGACGTCGTGTTGACAGGATCCATTACGCTCTATGTCGGGCGGGTCTTTGTTCAAACACGAGGTTCCCATCTCCCCAGCGTTATTCCAACAGATCAGATGAAAAGACAGGGAGGAGCAGAGCCATGTCGCGTTTCATCAATGTCTATCGGATACATCCCAGATCTCTGCTACCCACTGCAGCTTTCAAGTCTTTGTATCCGGAGACAAAAGAAGAAGAAGAAGGGATGGTGGTCTGGAAGTTTTTGCCCTGCTCGGATGTGAGAGAGAGTCTGCTCCCTGTTTGATTCTTCTCTTGTTGATGTTTGTGAGTGACAAGCGATAAGAAACAAAGCAAGGTTGTACAAGGTTGTGGCATATTCTAAATAAAAAAGCAAGCAACGGTTTGGGAGGAGTGACAAAAATAGATCAGGAAATATCACAATAAATGATATTATTGAAAAGACTTTAAAGTTGAGGTATCTATTCTTTCCCCATTAATGATACATGTAGTTTACCCCTACAAAAATCAAATCTTTTCACGTTTAAAAATATTGGATTTTGTCTCCTTTGGCCTCAAGAACAAAGACTTTAAGTTGTATTTCTAGCCACTCCCAACTTCTTCAAGACAGTTTTCCATTGTTGTTAAAACACGTAATCCTTTATAGGTCCCACTCGTCTTCATTAGTTATCAACAAGACTTCAATACAAGAGATGAAATTCCAACACACTAGAAATCAAGCTGGGGTACCTCACTTTAAGATAGAAAAAGGCATGCGTACAAATAAAAGATACACAAGTGCGCACCAACAGAATCAATTGATAAGTGGGACCCAATCAAGTCGGGCCTCACCTGCAGACAGCTGTTCCCAGACTCGCCCCGGTCCTTTCCTCTCAATCAAAGCCAACACTTAAAAACATTGGAGTGGTTTTGGAAACACGGGAAAGGAACACTTACTGATTCTTTTCTAGATTCAGGAGAAGCCGTTCACCTTCCACTTCAATCTGCAGCTTTAGAGACGACGGGTGGTGGATCTGAGGAGAGAGAGAGAAAGGTGGAGAATTTACACCTGAAGGAATCATAATAACTATAACATATATACAAGATTTATGCTGATTTGGTTTGAGGAAAGCTAGGTTTAAAAGGGCAAGACCATATGACAAAAAGCGTATTGAATTTAGTAAAGATTATGACCTTTTTCATATATTTTAACACTAATGCTTTGTTAATGTGGCTATAGCTCTTTTTAGCTAACTTTCAATCTGTGCTCAGGGCTCTCGAAGAAAATTTATTGAATAATTTGAGGATTTTGTAAGGAAGTAAGGGTTAAAAGTGATGTCAGCTAATTCAATGGCATCTAAATGTAGACCATATGACCTTGTGATTAATCTAAATGATGTAGTGTTCATAATTGATATATCTAAAACAGTCCCTCCCCTTGGAACACCATCACCAGTAACATCGGCTGGAGGAGAATAGTTAGACCAATGATCAAGGATTTGGATTCTCCCATCACAGTACTAACCAGGCCCAGCCCTGCTTAGCTTCAGACATCTAACGGGATCTGGCTTTCACATGCAGGTTGACGCCAGGACAATAGTTGTAGTAGTAGTAGAAGTAGTTCAATTAAATTCAGTTGTATAGCCCTAAATCACATCAGAATTGATCTTGGCTGACTTGTCGATTCGCAAACACAGATCAGAGAATCAAACAGTTGTTGTACGTTCTGGAACATAACCACCGTCCTAAGACCCTCCTGCATCCAAAATAAAAATGAAAACCGTAAAAAAAAACAACAAGACAAAGGCCCAAAACTATCTGACCACACACCTCTCTCCCACTACTTGCTCCACGCTGAAGTCCATAATAATAATAAAAAGAAACTGGATGGATGGACATATATCTATTGGACTAAAGACTTGCTTTTCTCGTTTACTTCTGGAGTAACTCTTCCTCGCGCTATAGACACACAACAAACTCCGATACGACCTCTTTTGTGTCGAGAGATTGCTGACTTTGCCACGGCAACCAAAACATTTCTCATAAATATTTAAACGTGCCGCCCAGAGCCACGGTGGCGACGTATCGAACAGAGACGAGTGTTTTTGGATGATGAGAGGAGCAGAAAATCCTCATGAAGCCATTTTGTCTGTTAGAACAAGAGCCCGGAGGATTAGCTTTATGTCGCTATTCCATTTGACATTAATCCAGAGAAAAAAGCCACCACAGCCTCCCAGCTTCGGATTCTACAAACGGCTGCGCTAGTGTGTGTGTGTGTGTGTGTGTTAGCGTCACAACAAGTGGCACCAAGTCGTTCATCATCCAGACTCGACTGAGCTCCAGACGACAGAGGAGATCAGGAGGAATGGGCCTTGTCAAAGAAGGCAAGGCAAGTTTATTTGTGTAGCACAGTTCATACACAAGGCAACGCAAAGTGCTGAACAAAGCAAGATGGAGAAAAATCACACAAGGCATTAAAATCATAAATAATCACGGCACATTAAAAAGGTAAAGTAAAGGTACAATCCTTCAGTTGTATGCACAGCTAAACAGAACTGTTTTAACTTGGATTAGAAGCCTATCTCACATTTTCAGGAAGACTGTTCCGGATTTTAGCTGTGTAAATCTAAAACGCTGCCTCCCCATGTTTAGTCCTGACTCGGCTCCAGCAGGAGGCCAGTCCCTGTGCTCCTCAGAGTCCAAGTTGGTTCATATGGGACTAACATGTCTCAGATTTGTTAAGGACATTTATGGAAATGATTTTACATTATTGACATTTATTAACATTTATGGAAAGTGGTCATCCCGCTCCCTATGAACCATGGCTCTATGTGTTTGTTATTATTGCATTTACTGCTGGTTTCTCTGATCTATTTTCTGTTGTGATTTAGGTTTGTACAAAAATGTATTGAATTGAATTGAGCCAATTAACAATATAATGTACTTAAAATAGTCTTTTCTTTATTGCTTTTACAAAATTGTTGCCTTGTTAATTCACACTCAAAAGGGGCAATAACATTGAGATTTCACTTCTGTGCCATATTCCCCAGCCCCTGACTTGCTAAAAATTAACAAAAAAAAGCTTGTTATTCCATACATTATTCACAAAACATTTTAATATTTATTTGAATCAAAAGAACACAGAATTGAAACTCCAACTAAACCAATGCACACATTTCAAAATCACTTCAAAGCCAATACAATTCTTCTTTCACTTTCGACACGTTTGGCTGACATCCTTGTCTGGTTTAAACTCTGCGAATTCTGTCTCTTGTGTTTGAATCAATAATGAGACAGAAAAACCTTCAAAAGCTGCATTTGATCCGTCTGACAGACAGCCAATCACACCCTCGCACTCCAGTCAGAGCCGTTTTATCAATAACATTTCTAATTATTACCACAATGTTAACTCTCCCTCTTTTTCATCCACTTTTAATCACCTTTAAATTCACAATTCTGGGTCTAAAGCTTTCTCCACACGTCTAAACATCTCAAAGTAGACATATCTGATGCATTCTAAAACCAGTTGTCGGTTTCAAATAAAGACTTTGTTGCCTTGATGTGTTTTGTAAGCTATTTTCAGTCCTAATTATAAATACAGCTGTCTATTTTTATTTGGCAACAAAAAATATATTAATTTGGACATCTGTTTTGTTCTTTCTCTGAACACAAAAGACATAAAAACCAGTGGAAAGGTAGCCAACTAACTAACTCAAACCCTGAACTATTTGGAAATTATAATGGTATATTTATTAAGGGTTTTTACACCCTGTATCCTTAACCCAAACATTCTCACGGTTTTAGTCAGAGGCAAACCTCCACCAAGAGGCACAGTTCCAATCCGTGAAAGGATCCTGGGATGCAGATGGTGATCCGGATCATCTACAAAATGTAATCCTTTGTTTCTTGTCCCACTTCCAAGATTTTCTTCAGAAATATTGTGAGTCGCCATTTAATTAACAGGCTAACGGGTAAACAAACCCAGAAAACAACATTTAAAGTCGTAAAGACAGCTGGATCTAGAGCATTTCAAACTCTGCAAGAATAGAAGATGTAATGATACTCTATTGTTCAGTGTTTGCTGCTCTATAAACTGTACATACTCGACACTCAATGAGCTGAGGGATGGGACTTGAAAACAAACAGTAACTGTGGAACTTTTTGTCTGCTTGTACAGTGTCTTCAAAATGGCTTTTACTTCTGATTTTACTTGATAAATTATTTCAGTTATCAAAATAGTCGTTAGTTCTTGTGAAGGTAACAAACAACACTGAGGCATGCAATGTCGTAACCGTGTTTGTTCTGATGGCTGCTTTTGACACTGTCGACCATGAGATCTTCATCCAGAGACTATAGGACTGGGTGAGTGTCACTGAAACTGCCCTAACTTGGTTTAAGTCGTATCTAGTCGACAGGAGGAAAATTGTGCCTCTGATCATACGGCCCTGACCGGTGGAGTGCCACAGGGGTCGATCCTGGAACCTCTTCTGTTCGTCTCTACATGCTGCCGTTAGGTCAGTTACTACCCGGTAACCTATAAAATGTAAAGATGCACTTTATTAATCCCCGTAGGGCAGGCATGTCAAAGTCAAATACATCAGAGGGCCAAAAAAACAAATTTGCTGCGAGCCGAGGGCCGGACTGGTTCAATGTTTATTAACTCATTGCCTGCCAGCCTATTTCAGAACAGGTACTCCCATATTGCCAGCAGTTTCTGATGATTTTTATAGATTTTTCAAGACCCACAGAATATTGTGTACTATGATCTGAAATCCGAAACCAGATTCTGAAAGAATAGACTGTCTACTTTCATCAGCAAAAATAATTTTGTTTCTAGCTTGTAATCCCCAGTTGAGTACAGGGAAGTTTTACTGAAATCACCAAAAAGTTGAGAAAAAAGAGGCACAAGTGCATCTAGCTGTTTTCAAACCATTCAGAGAGCGCTGCTGCCACCTGCTGGCTCGATTCAATATGCTCTCAAGCTTATCCCCAAACATATTAGATATAATAGACATCTGGGAACATGAAAATAGCGGAAAACGCAATTGACGTTATAGTGCGTCAATGGCAGGCAACGGGCCATGTAAAATTCATTCGCAGGCCGGATTTGGCCCGCGGGCCTTGACTTTGACACATGTGCCGTAGGGCAATTCCTCCTCTGCATTCGACCCATCCTGATGCCACTAAGGCTCAAGTCAGGAGCAGTGGTTGCCGTAGTACAGCGCCGGGAACCCATCTCCAGATGCTGATGCTCTGAAGGATTGTACTTCACTCTTTTTAATGTATAGTGATAATTTGCGATGTTAACGCCTTGTGTGATTTTTATCTTGTTTTGTTAAGCACTTTGAGTTGCAACTTGTATATGAACTGTGCTACACAAATAAACCAGCCTTGCCTTGCCACACAGCCCTAACAAAATGATATAGGAAAGGTTTGAGATTCAGGTGAAACAAAAGGACATTAAAAAAAGGCGTCAAAGCAGCATTACGTTTTAGATAAATCTTTTTCATGGATTCGCACTGATGCTAATGGGTTTATAATAATAACAACAGTTTGGTGCTAAAGTCCTCCAGTGATGTTTACCTTGTATCTTAGCTCATGCACTGGCTTCCACTCTCTCCCCTGCAGCTGAAGAGGTATCGTCGTCCCGTAGTCTTTCTGCCGCGACGAGGCTTTTCTCTCCATGGTTTGGCTCAAAACTCTCCCTAAAGAAACAGAAATACAACTTGAGATTTCACAGACAATTTCTAAGTATTAACAGCTTTTGTTCCGTCCCAAAATCAGATTGAAAAAGAACAAAACAGACCACATTATTCTGAGGCAAACCAGAAGCATGAGTGATAATGGAAATCTGGATGTTTGAAAGTAGGATGTTCACAATATGGGAAACCAGCGGGAAATAGTTTGAAGGTTTTTTATCCAATGGTTTGAAAGGGATGCCAGGTAGATAGATAGATTTATAGATAGATGGAGCGATAGATAGAGAGAAAGATAGAGGGAGACTAAAAATGAGATAGATAGATAAGGATATAAAGAGATAGATAGATAGATAGATAGATAAATAAACGGGCGGCACGGTGGCTGAGTGGCTAGCACTCTCGCCTCTCAGTAAGGAGGTCCTGGGTTCGAATCCCAGTCGGAACGCGGTCTTTCTGGGTGGAGTTTGCATGTTCTCCCTGTGCCTCCGGGTTCTCTGGTTTCCCCTACCACTAGAATTATGCTCACTAGGTTAAATCCTCCTGCTCCGGTAGTCCTGACCAAGTCGAGCATCAACATCTGGAGATGGGTTCTATTGTTCCTGACGTAAGCCTTAGCGGCATCAGGATGGAGGATGAATAGCCCTACAGGAATCAATAAAGTGCACCTTTACCTTTAGATAGATAGAAGGATAGATAGATGGATAGAAGGATAGATGGATGGATAGCCCAGTGACCCTCATAGAATTACATAGAAATACACTAATTTAGATACAGTAAAAGTAAAGTTATGCGCACCAAAAATGTACATAAGTTGAGTAATTCTGCTTTCAAAACCAAATACCGTCAAATTGACTGCTCTACGAGTCCTATAGTGTTAAAAACCAAGCATCTAATCCATTGTCTCTCAGTTGTAAAGTACATAAAGGAACAAGAGTCAGTATTGACCACTGCCCTGATCTAATAAGCAGAGGCTGTTTCCACTCGCAGCAGAAATAAAGCTTACAGTCTGTCTTTAAAGCGGCATCACGTGGGTCTCAAATCGAATGGTGGCGTCTGCAGGACCAGGATAATGTCGTTTTTTACAGTAATCAGCAGAACACAGCAGGTTTGGAAGCAGAGACTGAATCACATGCATTCGACATCGGCAAGAACTGTAAACCTGTGTGATTTCATTTTTTATGTTTTTAATATTCTAGATTAGATTACGATTCAGTTTATTGGCAGTAAAAGCACATTGGAATACATTTGCAAAAGTCCCTAGTGTGCACCAGACACAGGACATGACTCACAGGACTCATTCTTAAAGCAAGAAAAATGTCATGTGGTGACAGATAAAGGACCCAAAATGCAGGAATGCCAAAAAATGAAGATTTAATTAGGATAATAAAGAATAGTCCAGGGTTAAATGAATCAAAAATCCAAATAAAACTCAGGAACGTAGACAGACAAAGGCAAAGGTGAGACACATCAGGGCGGGGCAGACAATCAACACCCCTGTCATCAGTTATTTTGTGTCAGAGAACTGATTACAAAATAACACCAAATTAAAATAAGTGTATTATGTATGGAATAAAAATGTTAGGAACCTGAGCTTTAAAAGAAAAAAATTGATATCAGCACAAAAACATACATTTCATCAAAGACACGTAAAATGTCCATAAAAGACATTTAAAAAACAGACAACACAAATATAAACAAACATACAATATTTGCAAAATCCATAGTTACAAATGAGATCATCTTGTACCCAAATATCGCAAAAAAAATAGAATTAAATTAAAATTAAAAGATCTTGGGTAAATGTCAGTGTTGCATCACCAGTTACAGAACAGTAGGAATAAGGAACACACACAAGATAACTGAACAATAACTCTAAACCAAAATTAGATCAAATCTCTGACTTTAGCTTAATAATGAAGCAAGTATACAATCTCTAATTCACATCATTGCCACTGTTTAGCTTCCAACCTTTTTCTTTAACCCTGTCTCTATACGAGGCATCAAATAAAAATGAAAGATCAGTTATTTTAGCCTCTCCAGGGGACCACACCGACCCCCAGTGGAGCTCCAATCCAGTAACTCCACACACTTTGCCGGTTAAATCCTCCTTTCTGCTCTTACTCAGCACGGCCCCCTCCCCAGGACATGGTGTTTTTATGGCTAATGAGGTTAGGCCGACCCCCCACGGTTTCAGAACCACGGTTTCAGAACCACGCTGCCAGTCCCGTCTTGGCCAAACGCTCGCCTTTATCACCACCGGGAGTGAGGTTTGTGGAGTTGAAGGAGAGAAAGAAGTGCTTATACAGTTATAGGCCCCAATGCTGACAATACTACTGTCGCTTTACTGCACTGGGGAATGTGTATTGTGTGTATTTAGTGTGTTTATGGTCATTTAAAGAAATGTTGTGAAGATTTTAATGCAAGACTTATCTCTGGTCTCTCTTGGATATGTGTCTCTGGGATCTCTCTTTGGTCTCTGTCTAGTCTCTCTCAGGTCTCTCTCTAGTCTGTCTCAGGTCTCTCTTTAGTCTGTCTCTAGTTTCTCTTTGGTCTCTAACTAGTATCTCTGGTCTCTGTCTGGTCTCTCTCCCTCTTGGTCTCTCCTGGGTCTCCCTCTAGTCTCTCTCTGGTCTCTCTCTGGTCTCTCTCTGGTATCTCTCTCTGGTCTCTCTCTCTCTGGTCTCTCTCTGGTCTCTCTCTAGTCTCTCTCTGGTCTCTCTCTAGTCTCTCTCTGGTCTCTCTCTGGTCTCTCTCTAGTCTCTCTCTAGTCTCTCTCTGGTCTCTCTCTGGTCTCTCTCTGGTCTCTCTCTGGTCTCTCTCTGGTCTCTCTCTAGTCTCTCTCTGGTCTCTCTCTAGTCTCTCTCTGGTCTCGCTGATCTCTCTCCCACATATCTTTTCCAGTGTATGCACTGTGTCACACAAATAAACTTGCCTTGGCTTGATAATTCAGGGTTAACATTATCCTTGCTGAAAGTAAACATGAGCTAACGTGTAATGCATGTGGTCTGGTTAGTTCTGCTGAGACACTGCTCTTATCAGCACCAGTCTTCAGGCTTTCATTTTCATTTGTGCTGAGCAGCTCTGTGTTATCAGCCGTACCACTGACCCACAATGATCGACTCCAGAGAAGAAGAAGACGAGAAGGAGGCGGAGGAGGAAGAGGAGGAGGATTTCAGAAGTGAGAAAAAACAGAACCAAGTCTGGGTTATTAGCACCAGCTGATAACCCAGAGGTCTCTCTCTCTCTCTGTGTCCTATCTCTCTGGTCTCTAGTGTCTCTCTCTCTCTGGACTATCTCTCTCTCTCTCTCTCTCTCTATTCTCTCTCTGGTCTCTCTCTGATTTCTCTCTTTGGTCTTTCTCTCTGGTCTCTTCCTGGTCTCTCTGTCTAGTCTCTCTCTCTGATCTCTCCCTTCAGTCTTTCTCTCTGGTCTCTCTCTCTGGTCTGTCTCTGATCTCTCTCCGGCCTTTCTCTCTCTGGTCCCTTTCTGGTCTCTCTCTAGTCTCTCTCTGGCTTTTCTCTCTGGTCTCTCTCTCTGGTTTCTCTCCAGTCCCTCTCCCTGGTCTCTCTCTCTAGTCTCTCTCTGGCCTTTCTCTCTAGTCCCTTTCTCTAGTCTCTCTCTGATCTCTCTCTCTGGTCTCTCTCTCAAGTCTCTCACTCTGGAGGAGGAGGAGGATTTCAACAGTGAGAAAAAACAGAACCAACTCTGGGTTATTATCACCAGCTGACAATACGCAGACACCGCAGTTGAGACTAATGAGTCACGCATCAGAGAGAGAGAGAGATGGTTTTTAGTCTGTAAAGAAAACACTAGTCAGCTGGTGGTAGTAGGTCCTAGTTACAGCAGATGTACGAGAGGAGCAAACACAACATATGGCGTTGCAACTCATGCCTCTTGTCTGCAAAGGTTCTGGATTCATTCATTCTCGCGCAGTGAAAAGGCAAACCCAGATCATTAAAGTTCAAAATAAAGGAGACTTAGAAATGAGATTATGGACTTGGAGATTATGTGAATATTGATTTCTTCTCAAAATAATGAATTGTTATTCGTGATACACTTTTCATCTGACACCAAATCCCAAAGTGCTACACGTTAAAAAGACAATAAAGAAGATTTGAAAATAAAAAGTGACAAAGAAAAGGTAGGTTTTGAAGGTGTGTAGGGAAAACATTGATGGTAAGGTTACTATGAGCCTCCATGGCCTGTTATACCTAATTTAAAGCTAATTCTCTCAAGGAAACAACCATATAATTTCATCCTAGAATTTTAATCCAACAAATTATTATAAATTGTATCTATTAATTATTGGTCAATCCTGAAACTTTAACTTGATTGCAAAACAGTGACTAGTTTTGTTCAGAAAAATGTACAAGAAAATATTTCAAACTTCAAGTTAAAGTAATCGCTTTGTCAAAATACTTTCATAGCATAAAAAATACAATAACATCCACTTTTAAAACCACTTTATACTTTCAGATTATATCTCCTAAAATCCGAAAAACTCCTTCCTTCAGCCTCCATACTATAACCTCTAAAGTACACTACCTATTTTTTTTATTTTACATACAGCTTTTTGTGTTTTTGCTTCTTAAGAGTAACTCAAGTGGTGGCGGGGGAGCGCTAAAAGTGGCAGGAGAACTTGTGAAAGCAGTTTTTATTTATATGTTCAATAAAGCCCAACGCAAACAGGAGTTAATAAGCTGAGTCCGGGCAGTGACTCCGTTTCTCCTGTGGCCCCTGGTGTGGGACAAGCGAGGACTGTGCCGTTTATACAGGCGTAATAAAACCTGGTGCAGAGATACAGGCGCCAACGTGGAGACGCACAGTGTAGGCAGTATCAGCGCTGGACCGGTATATTTTTAAAAAGTAAATCCATTAGTCAAGCTGAGTTAGCAGTTTTGTTTACAGGGTTTTTGTATTGCTATCATTGTAGTGGCATTTTAGTGGTTTTGTTACAACTTTTCAAAAAACGGATGAAAAATAGGTTGAAAAAAATACTCAAATTT